GCCGCGAGGGGCCGGGAGCGACCCGTGGCGGAGCAGGGCCACCCGCCCCCGATGCCCTCCACCTTCGCCTCCGCGCTGGAATGCGGACCGCCCTGGTCTCGGGAGGGGCTCCGGTCTTCGGGCCGCTCCCGAGTTGGGGGTGTGCCCCTCGAAGCTCGACGGGAGCAGCCGGTACAGAGCAGTTTTTAATACATTGGATTTTTTTTGAGCATCGGATTTTTGATATGATTAATTCATGACTAAATTTATGCATGAGCTCATCGGTGTTTTTAATACTAAATCCCTGCTTTTGTAATACACGATCCGCACGCGGAGCATGTATTAAAAACGGCACTGTATCCTCATCCAGGGAGGCACGTCGGCCAGTGGGGCCCAGGCCACGGCAGTGGGGATAGGGATCGATTCAACGAGGCTCAACTCCCTCTTCCTTCTCCTGCTCACCTTCTCGCCTCCCCTCCTTGCCATCCCGACTGCCGCTTCTCCTTCACTCTTGACCTGTCTCCTGCCGCCCAGTTTCTCCATGCCTCCCCCGCCGCTCTACGTCCCTCATTTCTCTTCCCTTCCTTGACCCCGTCGGCGGAAGTTCAAGCGTCTTGAACGGCCTCTGCCCGACCTTCAGACCCTGCTCGCAGGGATCACTTACATTGTGAGTTGAGGGTGATCAGGGACGTCGGGGGTTGGGGTTAGTGGCTAGTGACAGGGACTGAAGGACGGTGCATGGTCCCCCCGCTGCTGACAAGGCGAGGAAACAGCTAATCGAATACCTACGTCTCGCCATGCGCGCTTTCGATCCGGCCCAGGAGACGCCAACCGTCATGATCTACCCGGTCAACCCCATTCCAGCGTCAAGCCTCCGCGATTAGACATGGCATGCCTGCTCGTCCTTGCGATTTCTCCTCGCTTCACTTGACTGTCCGATGGGCCCTCAGTCATTGCGTTGGGAGAAGGAGGGAGAACCAGTAGAGTAGAATGAGGACGCTAGGGCAGTCTTCAGATACCATATACTTCGATTTACCCTGTCAATCGAGATTGTGTGAGTGTGCTTGGCGAAATCAGGATCTTCGGTGTGCTAATTCCATCTATCCACACAACATTCACAGATCTATGTGAGTTCACGTATGCGAGTCTACATTCATTACTTTATACTACGCTGGCATCTGTAGATCTAGGTCTACTCATCATGACGTGTGTGGCTCTGCGTATGCGTCGGCGCTCGCGTCTGCAAATGTGGCAGCAGTATTGATAGCGTCGCGACTGGCAATAATCATGGAGCACGCTGACGCCACACACATGTATATATATATACACATATAAGCAATATGTATATGTTTACGTACATTATTTTGCAATGCGTTGACGTGCAGGTTCAATTATAGTATGTTGGCGCGCCGCGACTTGGTCGTCATTCGATCGTCGGAACACCATCTATGACGATATCACCATCCGTGGAAGCATATTGTCTCCCTCCACTTCTATTCGCGTGCTCTGCCGTGATGACCAGTTGTTTTGAGCTGCTGTATTTCAGAGGCCATGTAGCTCATCTCGCCGATCCCGAGAAGGGACCGTCACGAACGCAATGAGGCGGACGGGGGAATGCCAGATTGGCCCATGTGGCTTCCGAGTCGACGGGCGTTGGCCCCCCTTGGGGGCGCCAAGAGTGGCCGACAGGGGGGGCCCTCGGTGGGCCAGGAGTCGGCCCACTCTGGCCCCAGAGGGCCCCAAAGCTGGTCCAAGGTGGGCCCAACATCGCCGAAGCTGACCCGAGCCACTCTCTCTCTGTGTCTCTCATCCTCGTGTGTGCTCCCCCTCCTCGGCCATCTCGGGCCCCTCCGGGGGGGCCCCTCTCGCCGCCCTCGGGAGCCGTCGTTGGGGCCGTCATGGGCTGCCCAGACGATTTTTAGGGGCCTTACAGATGCTTCCTGAAGCCGTCCTCGTTTGGCAGAGATGCGTGTGAACACCGAGCCATGGAACACAACAGTTCTTTTTGAAGACGCAGCCTGCCTATCTTGGGCTCTCCAGGGACATCTTCTGGGAGTGTCAGAAGTCATCTGGGAGGCATTCCCGTCCCAGTGCTCCATTGACTGCTTGATTCCTCTTGCAGGGTCCGTCCGATGTTTGGGTGTTTTTTTCTTCTGCTACCTCGCTCCAGGTTTGCCTCGAAGTCATCATCTCGCTACGATTTGCCTTCGCGGTCCGCAAACGAATCGCTCATACTCGCGCGCAAGCTTTCGAATATAACGTTTCCGGATATTCTTTCGGGGTTGGGGTGATGCCAAGAGGGACAGGAGTGGGCGGTGGCGGAGGATGATGAGCAGGTGGAAATTGATGAGGACGACCAGGATAACTATGAACAGCAGGACGAAGAGAAGGAGGAGGAGAAGGAGGAGGAGGATAAGGAGGAAGGTGAGGAGGACGATGATGATGATGCTGCTGCTGATGATGATGATGATGAGGAGGAGGATGTGGTGGTGGCGGTGGTGGTTGTGATGATGATGATGCTGATTCGGTTGCTGATGGTGATGCTGCTGATGCTGATGATGATGGTGCTGAGGCTGATGATGCTGCTGCTGACGATGATGATGATAATGCTGCTGCTGACGATGATGGTGGTGGTGGTGGTTGTGATGATGATGATGATGATGATGATGATGATGATGATGATGATGATGATGATGATGATGATGATGATGACGAGGACGATGATGATGATGATGATGATGATGATGATGATGATGATGATGATGATGATGATGGTGGTGGTGGTGGTGGTGATGATGATGATGATGATGATGATGATGATGATGATGATGATGATGGAGAGCTAGGAACAACATAGAGGAGGACCTTTGGGGTGTCTGCGTGCGCACTGCCCGCGAAATCCGCTTGGACGCGCTAGTGGCGTAAGCGCCTCGCAGATGGATGCGCTGCTGTGTCTTTCGTCATCCGATGACCTGCCTGTGCTCCTTCCTGGGCAGGGCACCCGCCTCTTCTGGCGGCCGCTGCCGTGGCTGCTGCTGCCGCGGGCCGCGCCCGCTTACTCGCCGGCGCAGCGCCAGGTTCAAGTACGAGGGCAAGATGGAGATGAAGAGCCTCTCCGCCAAGGCCCAGGGAGGGCCCCCCCCCTCGGCGGCGGGGAGTATGACGAACGAACAAGACACCCATACCCATAGGGAGGTCGGAGGGAGGAGGCCTGGCTATGGGCATGGGTGCGGGTTGTCGGACTCTGGGGGCGGGTCCCGTTCGAGCAGGGACCCCCATCCGGCAACACGCATCCATAGCCCCCGCCGCCCGCCCCGCCGCCGCTGGGATTTGCCTGAGCGGGCCCGGCTTCCTTTCTCCCCGCCTGCGCTGGGCTTCCTCCCTCGTCCCCCTGTGCACCGCTATCTAACGCCATATCGCCGGAGCAGTAGCCTCTGCCCAGCCACCGACGCAAAGTGTGTGTGTGTGTGTTGTTCATTCGTCAGCGTACGGCGACGACTGGGAGGGAACGCCAGCTTGTGCCCTGGTGCTGCTCTTCGTCCCCCGAATGGAGTAGTGGAGACCGACTGCAGACTTGATTTAGCCGAGAAGTTGAATTGGTCGTCGAATTTACCGAACAATATTGAGATTTTTCGTAGATCTACTGGACACTCGACGTATTTTCGTGTAGTCGACGAACATCTGCTATCTTTAGCAAGCGTACTATCTTTAGCACGGGCAGCGCCTCTCGGCGAGACTTGCTCAATATATACATGCAGTCATAAGCGACAGCATCGCAGATTCCAGACGAAGCGTTTCTCAAAGCTCTTGTTTGCGACCCTGGTGAGGGCACGCCCAGGAAGTGACGAGCTGTCAGGAAACGCGGCTGTCCGAAACTGCACTGGGCAAATTGCGTATACGAGCTATTACAACAAAGCGCGACGTGTTAGACAATCTATGGTCGGATGCATTGTGAGGCACATCTTCATCATCGTTCGTCGTCGTCCTCCTCCATCTCTTCCTGCTGCTACCTGCACGTGTTTGGCGTGTCTGTACTATATCATGCCTTTGGCATATTGTTGCTCTTCTTCTGCATGCGTTTGGCGTGTCCGCATCGATCTGCCAAGGCGCCGTGCCATAGGCCGGCGCATGGCTTCTTTTTTTTTGGGTCGACGATCATATGAATTTTGGGGTACATCGATTCTGTAGCCGATCTCCTACTCGACCGAAGGTGGCGAAGTTCATGCCCGACCACACCATCAAGCTGACGAAGGCGGGCGGGCGCTCTTGTCTCTCTCCTGGGGCCCATTCTCCGTCCGCCGTCGCGATCGACGGGAATATATTTTTGAGGGAGGAGAGGAGGCGTACCTTCTGGAGCAGAGGCCATGCTCGAGCACTTGGCATGTGTAGTGCTCCGCCAAATCATGGTGGGGGAAGGACCGAGATGAGCTCGCCAGACCGTGTGAAAGGACGCCCGATTCTTCTCAGGTCGTGCCTCCCTGCCCACCGCCCTTGCAGAATAGGAGGGGAGGAGGCGGAGAGAGCAGTGCCCTTGCCGCTTCCCCCCGTACGTGGGATGTCTTGATCTTGTTAATGCGGCTCCCCGGACGTCCTGGGCCTGTTTTCCGTCCCGAGCTATTTTTTTTAATACGGCTCCAGGGCCCCGTTGGGGGCTCCGTAGAGGTCGAAGAGAGGGCTAAAAACCAACCTCCCCGTCGTGTTAAACACCAACTTCCCGTCGTTTTTCCTTTCGCGACGCGAGTCTGCCTAGCCCCGACCCCTTCCCCCCGGCGCGAGCATCTCTGGGTGTTACCAGCCTGGAACATATCCCTATCCCTATGCTGGGCATCTCCTCGTCACGATGCCACTCTGAGGGATTCCCTTATTATTTTTTTGAGGGCGAATGCCTAAGATTGTCATCGCCTTTTGGCGTGTCCGTCTTAGGGATAGGGATACGTTCGAGGCTGGTAAGGGTGGAGGCGCACGCAGCGGCTTCGCGTGGCCGGAGCGGCCCCCACGCGCCACGCGCCAACTTGGGGCCC